TCCGGGGGGGGGGGGAAGGCTGGAGAAATTCTTTCATTATGACACCACCGAACAAAGGGGGGGATGGATGAACTTGTTTTGGAATGGAATACTTAAGGAGGGCACTATTTCTTCGGATCACTAACCCGAAATTCGATGGGACAACCCGCAGGCATGAACAACTACAGGCTATAGTAGCAAAATAATTTTCATTAAGTCATGTGGGGTCAATCAGAAACTCAATAGTAACTTGTCAGAATGCACTATTAAGATTAGAATTTTTGTGCGTCATAGATGGCTCAAGTTTGCAAATGTCGACTGAGCCTTCTGTATGCGTGCCGTCCGTCCGTCCGTGATGTACCCGCCGGGTGAGATAAGGTGTTGCTCAAATAGTCAAATTTGTCAACTTGCTCTACTACCACTACTGCTTCCTCAGATACAGTAATGTTGGTAACTAGGTAAACCCAACCCTGTGGCAACATTTTACACTGTGATGGTGCGAAACACATGCAGAACATGGCCACAATAGCATAATAGCAATTTACCTGGATCTCCACTTAGCAGTCGTCATCCTTCATTTAGACTGATATCTTCTCGAAAAGCTGCGAAAACGAGTCGGGGGACATCTCGTAGCTCACTCGCGTAGACTTAATCGGGCTGTGCGAACCAGGAGTTCATTCGTCCCTATTTAGTTCTTTGGCCTATAAATCCCATCTGTCCACGCAAGACGCTGCTGCCCATATTGTTCACTCCATTACGGCCGTCTTAAACAAAGTTGCAGATACCGGTCATTTGACTTTTCTTGATTATGCAAACACCTCTGGTGCTCTCGACCGAAGAGTTCTTATTGGACGTTTTTCTCAGTGTGGTCTGACACTAGAATTCTTGAATGCTCTAACCGACAGGACAGCCTTAATGAACCTCGCGCTTGATTTTTGTCCCGATAGCTTGTACTTAAGAGCAATAAGTACAGTGAAGTTCCATTTAGTCTTAAGACTGGTCCCCGTTATATTTCATTGGTAGGCAGTCTCCTTGATCTTATAGTTAATAATCAAAATATCCTCAAATCGGTGTCATCCTAACCAAAGTTCAAAAACTGCCTTTGCATTCCTACGAGGTCAGGAAACTAATCATCCCACATAAACGCATTTTTAAATTTGTGATTACGTGCATCCTTCCATACTGGTTATACTTCTCCCCAATATTTTTTTCCCTGGTCTAAAAGCAAAAGATTTCACTTTATTCCTCAGATCCCGTTCTAAATAGCAACTCCTTCCTGTGCGTGGTTCATTTCGAATGCGTCGCTTGTTCGGGTTTTGGTTAATCTTAAGACAATTGTCATCCAGCTCAGAGAAACACGCTTACAGTGAATTTTTCTCATTCACTACCGTATGAAATTTATTTTCTGTTATTTTGTTGTTGTTGTTGATCACAATTTGTTTGATATATCTACTGCACCAGTTCGGAAATTGCTGAAAATTCACCCTTCAGATGCATAAAGCGTTTCTTCACATGACTGGATTAGTAACACTCAACACATGCGCGCGACTGGAGCTGACCAAGAAGAAGGCCAAGACGTCTGTGTTTAGTGCGTCACATCAGCCGGTATGGCATTGATTGTAATCGAACCCTCGACTACAAACTCGTTATTGATGGTTATTAGCTACTCATTAGATTTGAAGCTATCACTTCACAAACAGGTAGCCGTAATCAGTTTCAGGAATGCAGAATAGAATTTCGATGCGCCCGCACACTGTGCGTAAGAAAAAATAAAGTCAGTTTGAATCAAACATAGCACTGTTGAATTAAAGTGACTAGGGTGGGGGGGGACGGAGATTTATTAGATATACTACTAGGAACATGCAACAGGCTATGCTCAGTTTTACGTGTGACAGGGGTTGGACGAGTTTTTGATCAAACGACAATCGCCCACGGAAGACTTCTCCGAGGATCAACAGAAAAACCCCGAATATTGAATGGGTTTCTGTTTTTATCTACACCTTTTTCCATCAAGCTTCGGCTAAAAACCGTAATTCTTCAGCCGTGACCCAGAATCCTTTATTCTGAACCGGCAATTCCTTAGTCACGAAGTGTGGTCTCAATGCACAAACCTTAGTCATGCCATGGTAAGCAAATCAGATAAAAGTAACGGAATATTTCAAGGTCACTGATTAACCAAAGTTTTTTATTTCCTTCAAAAGTTGACGCTTGGTGAATAGACGAGAAGGTGAAGCGATCGTATGCAGCGCAATTGACCGTCGCAGGGGTATCAAATGTTGCAACGGGAGTAAACCGATGGCAGTAACGCGGATGTACTTTATGAATTGTGTTCACTATGCTTGGACTATTGGTGTGTCCACTTCCATGAAAGGGAATCCTCTTTCAACGGAGCTAAGGAAAGCTGAACTTTTTTATTGTCTCTCGCCCCACTATTTCTGTCAAGACTTGTAAATGCGAAACAGTGGACTTTACAGGAGTAACTAATTCAGGATATTTTCCCCTTTTGTTGCCGTCATGCCATATTCGATTCGTCAGCAATCAGGCTTTAAAACACATCGCGATAGATTGTAATGATTCATTTATCGTACCTAATCTGCCATAAACAAGATTATTCATGTTAAAATGAATTGAAGGGAAAGACTATATAGTTTCACCAAGGCGGACAATCGAGAAAGAATCATCGAAGGTGCATGTGGAATGGATGATTTTTTGAAGAAGCTGCCAAACACCTTTGCATTAAGACCACAACATGCGTGCTATTGCAGCCACGGATAGAGAAACAACTCTCGAACATGAATATTACAAGGCGAAATTCAATGACGAGTTTAGGAAACAATTGTGATGTGACTGACGAGAACCCCAAAAAGTACAGAGAGGATGGAGAATGGCTTGACAGTTCAATCGGTCATCAAGATATCCATTGCTCATTTGCTTGATGGAGACCACTATTCGATTAAGAAACTAACTAACTAACTTGCGGCATCGCTGAAGTTTGTGCATCGGCTTTAAAGGATTGAATCGCGGACAGAAATTGCAGGTCGAGTCTAACGAACTGCGGATTCCGGCCCAAGCCTGATGGGGAAAGATTTAGTCGGGTGTTCGACCGGTTTATCTATCAAATTTCACTTATCGGATGGTGAATTCAAGGGCGAATGAGTTCCGCTTGTTCCGTGTATAAATTAGATTGCATCCGAACATGGTCATGTTACGATGAAATGGTAGATTGCATTGCGCTCTGTTCGACAAAGCTTCTCTTCCGACTCAAAATCTATTGAGAGCTCAAATGAGAGATGACTTGTTTGTGTAACATTGAATAAATCAGCTACAATTTAAATGACTATTTTTAGTCACAAACGATTAGTAAGCCTATCTGTTTGTGAACAGATTCATTCACTGAATACTTGTCTTGTCATTGAACCACACACGCACACTTACCTCGCCCAGTTCCAGCTCGATTTCATGACACAAGTCACGTGGCTGTTCACACAAACTGCCGTGAAAACCCATGCGACATAAACAGCTGAAATTCCCCGCGTGTGGAACACATTGAGATACACCTTGAGGATTGCACAATCCAGTGTAAATGGAAGTTTCCTCTCGAGAGCTTGTGCCCGTTTTTAATGCAGGATCACGGAAGGCAGACAAAAGGGCATGTAGCCAATGGTTTTTTGTAGACGGTAACTGCTCAGCGGGCATGGCCTGATCAATCCATTGAACTAGTTTTTGATGGCTGTCGGTGGTCGGTTTGAACCGGCCTAGTTGTGGGTCAAGACGACATAGATTGATCTGACCTTCGCATCTGGGACCCATGTAACCTGGGGGGCAGTGACAGGTATTGTAATGCATTTGGTTTTGCTGTCTCCAAACTCCTCCATTCAGACAATCCTAGAGCGATTCACGTAAAACAAAAATTTGCCATGAGTTCGTTACAAATGATGGACAAGGATAGTACATCATCATAATATCAGTGATATACGCGAGAACTACTTACTGTAGCCGTACAGACACCGTCTGAAGTACAACTCGGATTGGCGTCTAGCAGTTGGTTTACAGCGAACTCACAATTACGTCCGGTCCAATCAGAGGGACAGAGACAGAGATAGGATCCAATCAAATCAAGGCATGAACCACCGTTTCGACACGGTTTGTTTGCACATTCATCGATTTCCGTCTGTGAATTTCAAAAAGTGGAAACTAATCAATTATTGTCGAAATGGATCGTCCTCCTGCTCCTCCCTCCCCCTCTCCACATGTAACAAGATTAGGCGTTTGAAACTCACAGGATTTAAGGGGTAAATTCTGTGGGAATCTTTCATATCATGGTAACATGCATTCTTGTCAGTTAAATCCGATTTGTGCGCACGAAAGCGAAATCATAATTCAGAATATAGAGAAGTGAACGCGTGAGGGGTAAAATCATTAGTCATCACCGTCAGATGGCAAGTGCACGAGTGACCTAATCAGTGGGCTGTTGTTCCGTCCTACACTAAACGCTTTACTGTTGTCGCAGCGCTCAGGGGCCGGTTTGTTTTGTGCAACTTCAAAAGGGACTCGGAGTGACAGTAAATAGGGGCTGATTATTTCAGGAAATTGGATACCATTAGAGCTCGGTGCTCGCCAGTCGGATCATCATCATCATCTTAAGTTATTGAAGCACTATGAAAATAAATAGGAGACTGCCGAGGGCCTGAGGAAACAAAAACCATGACATTCAACTTAGTTCCATTTTGCCTGTTCACCGAGCTCGGCAATTTGTTTGCAAACGTTTCATTGCCAGCCGAGATGATATCGTCAGTGCCACTTCACAAGCGATGCAACGTTTGCAAACAAATTGCCTAGCTTGGCAAACAGGCGAAATCGAATGCAGTTCGCCCGAGCTACGAGAACTTTAAAATATCCCCATTTCTTCACACCAATATACATTTTTTCATCTATGTGACATTGTGAACAATATCTTTTTCCTTAAAACAAGTGTTTTTACATGTCAATTTGAGCTCTGTCACTTTCATATTCTCGGTCACCGGTTGACTCCGTAACATAACAAAAATGCAACTTAGGCGCGGATTATTGGCTCGTTCGATCGGCAATGTGATATATGTGTTCAACAACTAGTGTTCAACACTAAAGACCTGTTGTGTGCCTCATACAGCTATTCGTCGCGAGGCGATGGTGACCATCACATCGCACCAAAGATCATGGGTTCAAGCCCCACTCTTACGGCCTAAATTTCACCTGTTCTAGGTATCACACGACAGTCCCTTGCTTGACTGCTGCTCCTCCCTGATAATTGGTTTTACAGTTATGCATTCAATAAAAACAAAGTAGTCATAAAGAATTCACATTTTTCATTTAACTTAGGCACAGAAGGTACACCTTTTCGAGTGGAGCTTATGTATAAACGAGTCACGACAGACTGCACAACTCAAATGACTTTCGCGAAACTATATTAGATTGCGTAGAGATTGTAGGGATAGTTTCCGGGACAGCGTTCAGCACGAAAGCATGTGTCTTTATTCCGTTGAACAAAGAAAAAGATGCTCACAGTGTAAGCCTGTGGCTAACTAGCATCAAGTATATGCACTAAATGCTTTCATTAATGTTTTAAATGTTTTTACTTCTTGAATGCACAATTGCACAGTCAATCCTCAAGAAGGTGTTCGAGGCCATACAAAGACTGCATGGGGAATTACACAAAAGAAGAAGAAGGTGATGGATGAAAGGATTCGAACTCAGCACAACCAGGTCGCTATTTTAACGACCCTATTCACTGGACCACCGAGGACAAAAAAATTGGTAACCTTAATGCTTGAACCGGGTAGGACAACATTAGTGAATTACAGAAAAGTGGCTCTTGTCATAGTGAAGTAAAAGAAGAACAAATACGTGAGCCCGTTGGAACGACAAGGACAGATACGCGATCTGGGGAATCGCTTTTGTGTTCAAATCCCACATGGATCGGTGAAAATGCACCAGTGATTGGTTCTAATGGGAGAAAACCTCCAGTCGGATGCTCTCCAAATGCCAGATTGCTCAGATGAAGACTAATTCAGAACATGAAATCTCATAAGTGATCATTTAACAGTTAAAAAGGAAAAAGAAATATTCATTTCCACCGAACTTGGTGATATTTAGATTTGGAGTTGTGTTCGAAGAAATAAACGCCAACACTCAATCAATGATACTTGATGTGAAAAATGCCAGTTAACCTCAGTATCCAAAACTCACGAATTAACTAAAATAGGATTTTCTTAACTTCATTTTGTCGAATCTGGGCCTGATAAGCACAGATCAACCACAATATAAGAAAAATACATTTTTCGTCTGATTTAGGAGTTTTATAACTGTCATGGTCGATCGAATAGAGGAATAAAAGCCCCCTGTTCAGCCCCAATCGATCACAAATAGCCTACGGTCTTTGATGTGTTTCTCATTTGACTGTAATTGACGACGGGTATTTCTGCTGGTAGGACAGGGGGCGGTTGTGTCCGCTCCCACAGTACATTTATCCGGGACCCGCTGATACGAACCTTCGGACATGCTGGTTAAAATCAGTAAAACACTTGAATATACATCCGGAGCGGAGATGGAAAAAAACGGCCGATTTGGGGTAGGTAAGCAATCTGTAGATTAAACAGCGAGTGAATAGACGAGGACCGATTGTGGATAATGATGTGAAAATCGCCATGACTACGTGTGAACAGTACTTGCGCGAAGGTGAATACCTGCGCACTCCTGTGTGTGTGTGTGTGTGTGTGTGTGTGCATGCTTGCACATGTACTAGAATTTTTCGGTTAAAACATTCTAGTCATCGAAACTGTTTGTTCCCAGGACTGAGATGTCAAATTTGCAATACTTGGACTGTACGCATAGTTCTGACCAATTCGGTGTTTTTCCAAGGTCCACGCGACTCCAATCAAAGGACGGTCTATTTTGACATATACTGCCGTGCTGACAGGTCCAAGCTGGAATGAGTCATTTTTAACGAGCGAATGGCACAGGCGACACGAATGTCCCGCGAATGTCCGCGATTTGGGACGATTTGCTTGCACCAGAGGCCAATCGATCAATCAATTCAAAAGTTGCATGCTTCTGCACATGTGTCCTGGGCGGGTATATACACAGAGTGAGACCAAAATCAAATGCACTGGCCCGGTCTGTCAGACAGCTGTGACCTTCAGGGACAATCTGTCTCATACCCATTTCTAAAGGGAGTGGGAAAAGTATGCACACTTGGATCAGCGTGTGTAGAGCTACAATCTTTTAGCCTATCGATCTGAGCAGCTTGTATGGCAAATACCAAAGGGTGGGAAGATGAATTGCTGTTATTGTTGTTGTTGTTATTCTTTCTGCATACTACACATACACAACAGCTGAGCGATTTGCTTGTCCTGCCAGAACATGCAAATGCACTTCAGGTCGCCACTGTCTACTATTGCCCGCACGATTATGAGCTACGGTTAGCCAGGTGGTAGTAGTTCAGACATGGATTGAAGCCTTTTGAGGAAATCGATCGAAAAAAGTCGAGTGAGGATTGAATTTGGCAGACTGACATACGAAATCCGCAAACTACGGGAAAATTCCTTGGCGAAGGAAACGTCCGATCTTTGGGCAGTGGTCCCGTTCCCGGATTTCGTGAGCTAGTACCAACCATATTCTTCGGGTTTCACAGCCCTCTAGGATACTGTTATTTCATTTTGGGGAAGCAGTAAATTTCCACAGTCCCCACCGAATGTCCCCTATAGTTCGAGTCCATAATCCATTAGGCTGAACAACAAAAACACCAGTGCTATGTTACATGGACGGAGATGGAGGCCAAATTTTGTGTGACCAATAAAAGTCAACAGCGAAGGCAAAAGTTTGACGGGGATTTTCAGAACCAAATTGAGCTATTTGTTAAAGCATTCTAACTATGTGAGGAGCAGGAACCTCGTGGGAATTCGGACCCAAGCGTGGATGCAAGTTTTGCCTATCCACTGGGTATGTATGCTCTGTCAGCGGAGTGACGAGCATCAAAAAAACGATAGTATTGTTTATCATTATTGACATTTACTTTATTAAGAAATTTCCGTTGGGTTCACAAAAACGGTGCAGTTAAATGGCAAAGTTTTGAAACGTTCTCTACGATAAAATTGATTATGGGGGGTCACTCAAAGAGAATATGAGATGGATGGACGAAATCGAGTGCAAACATTAGGGGGGGGGGGGNGCGGGATTTCGTCCTCAGCGAACCGAATATCGGAAATTTTAATTAAGATTCAATAACCGGTCCTTGACAACGATTAGAAACGGTTGGTTTTCAGTAATTGAGCTAGATGATTAAGTGCACGCATCGAGAACACTCGTTTCTCTTGCTAAATTCAAACACACGAGAATATATCATTTTACGGCCGGATCCTCATGTGATCCACATTCGTGTCGATAATGCATCATTCCATCCTCAACCATGGAGCCATAGGAACAAGTAACTACTGTACCGTAATGAAATATAGTAGCGTATTGGCTGGAATTTAAAGTGGTGAACGAGATGCGGCTGCAACAGGATAGGGGCAGTGTGAACCGAGTGATACTTAAGCATAAGTGAGGCTTTTCTACTCGGTTGGGAAAGGGGTCAAACAGTCAGTCAACAGCCAGAGCCTCTGTTTCATCCCAATCGAATTCACTTTCCAACCGGCACTCAATCTTGGACGAGGATGCTCACCTACTGAGCGTAGATCGATCCGTCCCGCGCTACGCGGGACTAGTTCCGATTTCAACTAGATCCATCCTCCTCCTCCTTATCAACATCTTACAGTGAAATACACTGGAGCGAACTCCACTGATCACTTTTAAGTTCTCCATGTATACAAAATAAATGAGAATGCGCAAGGTGGACAGAGGTTAAGCCGATTTTGAAGGTTATACAGAGTACATAATCTAATTGTGCATGTACACTTTCCAAGCATTCTGACCCGAGAGGAAATGATAACCAGAACGCCACTGCTGTTGGCTCTCTGCCATGTCCTTTGGAGCCACCAACCAACCAGTTACGAAGCACTTTGAACTGCAGTCTAGAAGATGAGGGACATTTACTCCACCTAATCACTCTGTATGTTTCTTCATACCTCGTCGCCGCATCATCTACTGACGTCCACAACATTTCGTTCAATCCGGAGCGGTAACAGCAAATAAAGCCCGGTGCAGTGTACGAATTTTCCTAAGTTTACAAACACGAGACGACTGGCCGATCATTTACTAACCCGCTCACTCCACTACCCCCCGGAGTCAAACTATACAAAAATCAGTTAAGGGAATCTTCTAGTCGATGAATATCTTCTACTTGCGATTTAGGGTTTCAGTCGCACCGTGGAACTTATCGAATGGTGGCACAATGTATGCGGTCTTTCAACTTCAGTGAAAAGTTACATCGAGGCCAAAGGTGCTTCAGCTTGCAGTTTTCTCCGTTGCTGCACTGCCATCAATGGTCGCGTAACTGCCCAGATAGGATAACCAACTGACTAGACCTAACTTAAGGGAGAACTATCTGGGTAGGTTAAACCGTGGTTGAAGGGGTGAATGTGTCTGCGAGTTTACCATCTCGAACGGTATGTTTGTTCGATGGTTACATGCGAGAAATAGCCTCCCAAATTTAATTGCACCAGTTTAGGACGATGATGTTGGCTCATGCGCATGAACAGCACTTGCCTATAAAATCGCGAACAAGCAACACGGAACTGGATGCTCAAGCAAGTGTGCAAAAAATGTGACCAACTATTGTTTTGAGTACGGATCGTCCATGAGAGCCTGTGAAAGGCCCGCAAGAACCTCGACATATGACGAATAGTTCGTGCACCAGTCTGTTTATCACACACACACACACACACACACACACACACACAACTTTGCAAACGATGTATTACCAATATAGAGTTATGTGTGTGTGTCTGCTTTTCAAAGCCATGAAACGTTGCACTCTACGTTTGAGCCGGTTTGACAGAATTCATCAATCACTGACGGACGCTCGAGTAAATGTACGATAAAGTGCGGGTAGCTTGACACCATAGAGATGCGTGTTCGTCTACCCGTGTACTTGTACTTGTACATGGATGTGGCGTCGTCAAAGGACACGATGACCAAACCAAATCTTTGGATTGATCAATTTTGGCGACAGTTTTAATACGCGCACACAAATATACGGATGTATACACGCATGTTTTTAAATCCGCTCGCATTCACACACACCTGTGTCTCTTTCACTGTCTATCTGTCTCTCCATCTATGCCGCGGCTGGCCGACCTACTTGTTCACACGGTCACTCATTATAAATCTACAGCCACGCGGTTGGTGAACCTCGAAGCACAGAGAAGGAACAAACGCGCACGGGGTGAGGGGGGGAGAGGAGACTGGAAAACAAATGTCCCAGTATCATTNTGTGGTAGTAATAAAGCCCATTGGAAGGTGTTAAGTGGAGAATAGTGGAGAGTGATAAAAAGTGTAGTTTACTTTCGGTGTGAAGACCACCGACGACCCTGAAGGACATGGCTTCAACTCTACCAGCACCACCACTACTGAGAGATCAATCATGGAGATGAAGATGAAGATGTGAAGACCAGACGCGGATGGTGTTTGTGTATTGGTGTAAAACTGCATAAAACACGACCGTTTTACACTACCATCGCCACCACCGAATGGAAGTTTCTTGTAACCGTTACAACGCATACGCGGACTAGGAAGAGAAAGAGCCGTTGAAACGTATGGTGATCCGATCAGTCCACTGGGACCAATTGCGGAAAGTTGGTGTCACACGAAAGATCGGCTAGTATATTTGTTCAGCTGTTCAGAACGCTAAGCGCCAAGATCACTATCCTATTGGGAAGAATGAAAAATGCGTTTTGAACTGTCAATCAATATATTTTGTATAAACTGAGTGAAAATTCCTTGACTGTTGTAGAAGGTACCAGTATCAACAGTGTTGATGTCACTTGATAGTTGAAAAAGTGTGGCTTATCCATGACAAACGTCAGGATACTGGTTAACTGGCCTGTGTGGTGGAAAAAAATCCTCCGCGATCGATCAGATTGACACTGAGGTTTGGAATCGATAGCTCCATCGCTCCAATGGAATAGAAAAACTATGATTTTTGATGCACCCTTATCAAGACCGTGATAAATAACCCAGGTAAGTGTATTCATTAAGCAACTGAAGATTCTCGAATCAGAAGGCTGCTTTTCTATACAATTGAATTGAGTCGCTTAATGAGTACATTCGTTCATCAGGATTACCTTTATTGGTTGAGATGTGCAAAAAAGACGCATTCGGTGGTATTGTGCTGGAACGCGATGCATCCATACGATTTTAAATGTCTTCATTACATACACATTGACATGGGGAACAGTAGTAGTAGAGATGAGGGCTTACAGATCACTAATGGCAACCGTGACACCACTTTCTGAGATTGAGTATAGATAATGTCTTCTTTAAAATGGGGTGATGCAGAACCAGATGACGAAAACAGTTGCCCAACCGCAAAGTCAGATCTCAGCGTTCGAATCTCAAATTTTGCGGAGCTTTGCTTACCAGAGGCAGTGAATCAAGCAAGTTGACCATCCGAGAAGATGTGGAAAAACTGAACTTGGAAATCATTACCTAGAAGTACATGTGTAAGTCCTTACTTTACGTTGCATTCTAGAGTAAAAATCTACACATACAAGCGGGTCTCCATTAAGCTTTTACTTAGCCAATACAACGCCCAACCGAAAAACAGCAAGCATTTTAAATTGCTACGGCCTAAGTCGTCCATAGCTCGAGAGCATTCCTTTCCCCTCACATCTTCTCCTCAACCATGAATACACGTGGGGAGACATCCACACTATCCACAATTATGCTAAACCCATGTTTTGTAGCACTGATCTCTGTGATACAGAAGTTTGGTGCGCTAATAAGCGTGCACGAAACACATCATAAAAATGGATTTTATAGGTAGATTTATCGTTTACGTAGCCCAGGAAACGTGGATCGAGAAGTTTGGACGTATTGTACAGCTATTTAGGTGTCATCAGTGCAATACGAATTCAGCGATCTAACTGTGGATTGCGAATGTGGGACCTCACTACAGATAGAAGATAAGAATATTGCTCATTTGAACACCAGGTAGGTGTTAATCAACCAAATTTTCTTTTCATTAATACGCAATATAGCACAAACCGTTGGTTAGAGACACTGAGTGTCGCAAACAGTGGCGTTCGTGCAGCTTGTCAATCTCTGCAACATTAGTTCACTGAAATTCTAAATTTTCTCTTAGATCCTACTTTCACCCTGTACTGTCTTTCTTCCAATGTTCATCCAAATGGGCAGCCAAAAGACAGCAACCAAAACCGGCGCACGATAATGCATGCCAAATGGTTGTATAAAGTGAAACTGAACTGCGTTGTGTTCGTCTCACCTTGCTTATGTTAGAAACAGCTTCCAGGATTATGCCTCAGTCGGAGACATCTCACTTCGCCCATTCTAACACTGGTTAGGTCCCGAGTGTCTCCGATAGGCCTGTAACAAGCTTGCAAACATGGATTGTGCTAAATCGTGTATAGAAAATGTGAAACAGTCCGGTAGCTGAGTCTGTCGTATGGTTGGATCCCACCTTTGAGGTGCCAGGTTCGAGGTTCTCAGCTGGATAGATAGATTCGCACTGCTGATGAGACCCAACCAGGTGGAAACAGTGGAATAGTGTAGCCATGCTTTTCAGTTCTGTATGCAACGAATCTGTTCATTCAAGCGAATTAAATCCTCCTCTACTCCGTTGTAAAAAAGATTAGTGTACGGTCATTTCAACACAGAAGAAGACGTGACCAGACAAGGTGAATAGAACTCCATGTCAAATGTGCTTAATATAAATCGATTTGTGTGCGCTATTAATCTATGCAAGCGATGTGGATTCGGGGCTTCAATAACAACAGTTGGGGTTCGTTTGTGTGGCTGAAAGCTCAACATACTGAGTAGAACTCCACTTTCTTTAAAAACTGCGAAGAACGCGAAAATCCCTCGGCGAATTGAGATTGTGGTGAGAAAGAGAGATAGTAGGTGATTTGAACCATCATGCCTAATATGTGCATGACCTTTCATTGCCCACCACACCTACTGATCACATGTGAGGTCCAATTCCGGAGGGGTCGGGGGAGGGGAGAACAACACTATAAGTAAACGTGGACACCCATACTCATCCCAGGATCAACTCACTTCACAAAATAGACCGGTAAATCCTGTAGGGCAAATGCACTGAAAACTGTTCTCGTTTTCCAAGCACGTGCCTCCATTCCGACAGACTGGATGATACCCGCTTGTGCATGCACGCCACCGGGTTTCACATCGGGGACCTGACCAACCGGTCGGACAACGGCAAAAGTACGATCCGTACGTGTTCACACATTGACCACCATTCAGACAGACTGGTCCATGCGCATCGCCGGGTATGCCCACAACACACTCGTCCACATCGATGTCACATCGCGGTCCTGTAACGCATAGATAATTGGTTGGGGTTCAACACAAGGTTTGTAGTTCAGCACGTGATTGATACAAACCGAGAGATGGCTGAAACCATAGATATAATATTCGTGTACGACAAAATGAAAATTGAGATGATAGGGTTTTGGTTAAATATTCCTGGCGCTTTGAAACAAATCGTGACCGGATGCTAACAGTGAATCCTCATTGTAATAACTGAATGATGCCATCGGTCATTTTCGGTACTGTGTCCCAGTAAGAAGCTTGTAGATCATCGTGACTGAGTAGTAGATTCCTGCATCTATGGTGATTTGACCCACCATGGTAGTATTGAAATTATACAGTTTTGTCTTTAAAGCCGTCTTCTCGTGGAAACTGAGACCATTAGTTAAAACGAAATATCGAGTCAATCTATTGTAGAAGTGTTGGTTCTGGGACACTGTGTAGAACAAAATTAAATCGAGCCAATAGATATGTTCCTTAAATTAACTAGTGTTAAGCCATTTGAACTTGTACCCAATTGCATCATATAACGTGCTTAAACTACCTATCTTGGTCGAGTCAAAACAACGAGCAATGTAGTCGATTGCAAAATTGACCAGATCTGTCAGCTTGTTTTAATAGTCAATGATAGGTAAAAACATATTTAAAACGACTATTTAGATTGGAATCATGATCTGTGCGAAAACTGCTTTATAAGAAAATGAAATAACCGATAATTATTGAATTATTGTGAGGTACTACTCGCATTTGTAAGTAGTATGCAAAACAATGAGGCTGGTGGTTACCCTCAACAATCGAAAGTTAACAAGACCACTGAGAGCAAATTGCTGTCACAAAGAATAACTACGGACTGCTGCGTTCATTACTCGGGAATGACGATGACATGTTTCAAATGAGATTTCTGTTATATGCATGCTAAATTAGTGATATCCTAACTGTAAGCTGCAATAAACAACTTCCCTTGATCGAGCACCGCCTTATGGAATTATAACAGAAATACGGCTTTGTATATGACAGCAAAGAGCCAACTCGATCCGATCCGATTTGAAAGAAGGGTGAGCAACTCTGGTAGTCGTTAAATGGTTTCTACTATTGTGTTTTCATTTTGAAAGTGCGAAAAAAGTGATTAATATCATCTGCATTATTCTAAGCCGATTAAGCTATCTGAATCCAGAACAACAACATATTAATCTTCAGGTGAACCCAGTCATTTTCGGCTGATTAGTAAATTGTGAATTGAGTTACTAAATTGGAATCTGAAATATTGATTTGAACTGACCGTCCTTCAGACTTCATCTTCATGCGCAGTCCTCAGTTATTTAAGTCAACCATACACTCGGAAGCACTAGACTCGAGTTTCGCTCTTATTTAAGCTCATCAATAGTACATATCCCATATGAAGGTGAAGAATAGTCAGTTCAAATTGCTGTTGATTATCCCACACCACTAAGCTCAAGTAATTGTGAATCAACTATGAATTTAAAATATCTTTCTGAACCCCAACTCGATGCATGAAATATCAATTCCAATGAGACAGCTATGTGGTTAGGACAGAATATTTCGTGTGCAATAAAAGCATCATATGTGTCCGAATAAGTCTCTCTCTCATTCTAATCACGTGATTTGTTCAAATTGACTAGTTGTCCGATGAACCCACTTCATTGATTGTTCACTGTGCGATGACGCATTTTCACGTTTAATCAATCACAAACAAATACGAATGTGTTGTCAAATTATTGATTGCAACGGATCACGTGGACCTGAATACCTTTAAACACACTGTTCTCCTACATTTGCGTGTTTGTGCGCGTGATACTATGCAGTATTGCAGGTTTATGGTCGATGGACGCAATTTTGTGATGGCCAGTGTGTTCGAACATAATACGGATGACGCGCGCGAGAGCTCTAGAGAGCCCGTGTCCTAGACACACACACACATTGAAAGATCGGTGAACGATGTCTGAAAATGCTCCGTAAACCGGTGTATAGGAACTCTTAAGACATTGATTATGAAATGAAAATTCAGGCAAAAGCGCCCGGCATAAAAAACCTGATAGACCAACATCAGACTAGTAGCCCCAGAGATACATCAACCATTACACTCACACTGCAAAAATGCATTCGATAAAACCAGACTGTATCCAGGCCCTATTGATCCAGATGCATTGCTTTCTGTGACAGTTTCCAGAGCCAGACAGTCTATTCGCTTTCCCGTTTGCAATGATCGTCTTGACTGATTACAGCGCTTGATTATCTACTCGTTTGGATGAAATAGTTACAATTACACTTTACTCAACTTAACCTTTTGTCACGTGATTCGGATATTGGGTAAGCCTTCACACGCGTCCTTTGGGTCGGATGCGGAATGGCACTTTTGAGGAGTGGGGGCTTAGTGACAGTCCAGTGTGCTGGGTGCTCTAAACACTACTGGCTTCATTTGCATTGCACCACTCGGGGAGGGGCGGCGGCGATTGTGGAATTTTGTCATGGTATTCTTATCCGTTTTCGATCATATTTTCTTTACAGTGAAGGTTGGGCAAAACAAAATTCATGTTATTATTATTATTATTATTATTATTGGTCATGAAAGGTTATTGTGTTTCATGCAGAAGTGAACATATTGCTCAACTCCTCTTAGGAGGGAGGGGATATAAAATCGCTTTGTCCCGAACCACATGCCACAAGGAGCAGATAGGCGATTGAAGGGGAGGGTGACAAAATTGGTCTTATTCTTGTTGTCTTATTCTTGTTGACAAAAAACATGAGATTCGCGAGGATTTCTGTCAGTTGCCGGTATTGTGTAGTAGCGAACGCGAATAAGAGCAAATCGTCCGGTGCAATGCAACACATCTGTTTATAACAATGTATGAAAATGAAAATTGATCAGGTCATCCGAATTGGGACAGATTAATTAAGTATTCTGATTTGTGAAAATCTAGCTTTTTATTGCACATCATTCTATGTTGAGCACAGCACACGGGGTAAATACCATAGTCACGAGGACCTGTTGTCCACCCGTGGAAACCGGCAACCGAAGCCACAGGATAAAGAGGAATTGGTACGGTTCCGGTCTCGAGGGTGAACGAAATGGAGACGAGACGGACGAAGAGGATGGTCATGAATGTAAAGAAAAAATAGGACGGTACTCCCCCGGCCACTGTATCACGATCACTGGTTCCCCCCGGACTACTTAAAATTTTCGCGAGATGTAAATTCTGCTTACCTTCAAAGCGTCCGACAGCTGTATCACATTGGCAGATAAAGTCCAATGCAGCACGATTGGACCTGTTGTCGCCTGTCGAACCGAAGGACCGGATACAAATGGCTTCGTTGGCACAGGTGCCCACAGGACACGGGTTCGGCTGGATCACATCGGGATTACTTTGAGTCCTGGCAACGGGGAAGTCCGAATTGCGATTCCGACTGCTCTCACAGTGTAAACCATCTGCTCCATCGAAACATTCACAAATGTAACCATGTTTTTGTTCAACACAATACCCGTACGGACTGCAAGGCTGTGTTGAACAGGCCGATACCTTGAACTGACAACGGTCACCTATGGTGATAGGAAAAAAACAGATACATGCATGTTTGCGCTTGGCTAAGCAGAAGAAGGTGTAGTAGTTTGAGAGGAAAAAGTGTTTCATCAGATTTCGTCTAACCGGTGTTACACATACCGGGAATAAGATCAGCAATTGATAATGTTAACTTGGTTGCTATTGTCAACGCAAAGTGAGTTCTATTGAAGGTTCGATGTATTGATCCTCCCTTGACCCCTCCCCAGTTCAAAATTAGCCCAGTTCATCTCAATGTTGAGCTAGTACTAGCTACTCAAGTAAATCAGAGAAAACCGTTATGATATCGCGTTTGTCGCAGACATACCCACACAACTACACACATGCACGCAGACCGTACCGCCATGTTGTCGCGTGCAAATCCCGAAAGCACTGAACCGAAACAAAGTATAGTTTCACAAGTTACTAAACAAGAACACAATTATTAACTATTCGAAGAACAGTAATAATAAACCATATAAACCGAATGAGCGGTTTTCGGTGAACAAATACTAGCCTGGATGGCTACCTGAGCGAGGAAATCCATCTTTCGTACTGTGGCAAACCCCGTCGCGGATACGAGTCATCAGATGAATGAAGCTCCCATTTGAGATGATCTATCGGGTGCCTGGTCAGGTTACTTTTCAAAGCTATTGAGCTACAGCCGAAGTAGTGACCATCTATCTGGCTGTTGGATCCACTGCTCTGTTCCCACAAGCCACTTGTCTTCGCGACTAAGGATGACCTTTCACGTGACCTCGTGACCTAGAATCGATCACAGTTAAACTTCCCCGCAGTGTACTAACTATCTTGATCCACCAATCAAACTTACATACAAATCCAAATTAAATGCATCCCTTTTCCATATTTATGTGAATGTATTAGCCAGACGATAAAGTTATCCAAAACAGTTCGTTCTACATTTCATGTTTACTTAAATAATACGCTGGAAATCTTCAGTAAATTTCTTCTAGAAGCGTCCTCTCTCTCTCTCTCGATCTTTTCGGAGTTACAAGCCGCTTACGAAATAGTCTATCTGAACAATCCGTAAACTGTGTACCGAGGAAGCCTTCTGGACTGATTGGTTCATCGCATACGGAGAGTCCACACCCAATTTGTGTTTATGATGCTTTATGATACGAGTCAAAATTGATAATCGTAGGAACGTCCGGATTTTTTTCTATCCTTTTCTCCTGATATCTTTCGCTCGGCGAGCAACGTGCACTTCCATAAATCGCTCTGTTTCTTCCGCGATCGTGCGGATCTGGATGGGTCATGTCCGAATCGAATCTGCCCGGTGTGAATAGGAAGAGGGACAATGATGGTAGTACGCAATCTCCGCCGTACCGCAAACCGCGGCTTTATACCCCTTATCTCGAGATACGCAGACACACACAAGGAGAGAGAGAGAGAGAGTCGGATGTCATAGCTGCGCCACTGGTGTTGCAGGTTCTTCAATGCTGCTCTAACTCTTCCCTTCTCTCTCTCTGTCAAGTGAAGTAAAGTCAAGAGCGCAAATTATTCGTCCGTTGGAAACTGAATGTACATTGAAAAAGTTCTCGTCCATAGATGTAAGCTGAGGAAGCACTAAACGTGAAACCTAGAGATATGATTCAAGAAAGTCTGATCAAAATGAAATCGTACGACAACAGATCCGGTAAGATAAGAGGGGAATTGTAATTTCTATGTCTTATCAGGACTGACCAACCAACCATGAGCTCAGAGAGCGCGCGAGCGAGCGTTTCGTCTAGGTGGAACGGTGAGAGAGAGACACATACACATACACATACACACTGGTGCGCAAAAAACTGTGTAAACACTCAATCACTCACGTCACCCACGGTGTAAAGCAATCCAAAAAATATAAACACGTGTAAATACCCTCATTCTTCGGGCATTTTATGTGCCCCTAAGCACGTGGCGATAGACATGGTTATTTTCATCAAAAAAAAATTAACTGAAAAGTAAAAAACAGAAAGGAGTGACAACGACCACGAACCTAGGAAGTAATCCGATTGGCATTGACATGTGAATCGCTGCGGTGCCGAATCGTTGAGCGCACACACCCCCGCGTTGAGACAGGGGTTTTGAGTGCACGGGCTATGCTCGCACTTCGGGCCCGTGTAACCGAGAGGACAATCGC